AACACACACACACACACACACATATATATATATATATATATATATATATATGGAAAACACTACGCGCAACGCCGATAGGCTAAAATAAACAGTAATTTCGCCTACTCCCATCGCTGTCCAAAGTTCATCGCGCAATCATGATTGTCTGATAGTATTTTTATTTTTCATTTTTTTTTTACAAATCAAAATGACCTGAAATTTGGAGCGTGTATTCATAAAAAATAAGAGAATCTTTGAAAAATATAAAAAAAAATATTTTACATGAAAAATATTGACCAAAATACCCTCAAAACTTATCAGGGGTATATATACCTTTCAAATTTTAGGTTATTCCGATTTATAAAAAAAATGAAAAATAAAATACTACCAGACAATCGTGACAGTGCGATGAAACTTGGATGGTAATGAGAGTAAACGAAATTACTATTCATTATCGCCTATAGGCGTTAGGAAGACTTTTCTTCTCTCTCTCTCTCTATATATATATATATATAATTATATGAAAATTCTGGATTTAATAACCTTTTTCCCTGGAGGGGATTACAACCCCAATCTTCGTAGGAAAACAATTTTTTGATTTGGAATTTTGAATATGCGAATAATTTGGTAGTACCTTGGTAGAAGTGAACAATGGATACGGAACCAGTTTCCATGAGAATGGCTTCATACCATTCACGGGTTTTAATGCCATAGGATGAATTCATGTGATTTGAAAGGTAGAGGGGAGCTATTTTATATGGGTCGAGTAGGGCATGATCATCAGAAATGATTACCTCTGGTAAAAAAGCAGTTTCGATATAAATAGATTTGGCAGAGGTTGAGGTTTGTTTTTGTGGGTATGATGCCGGGGAAAATGCCGGACTTGGAGTGGATGATGGACTTAGTGGAGGAGTCTGTATAAGATTTTCTGGTACATTAGTGGATCGAAGGGGTGACATAGGTATTAGGTTGAGAGAGGAATGGATGGGCATAAGGGGCCCATACCTATTACTTGGGACTAACTCCATTGGATGTTTTCCTTTGGGATCTGAAGAATGAGGATTCATATTTGTATTGCTATTCTTATTTGAGAAAAAGAGTTGCAAACCGTAGGAGGAAAAACCGTAAGATGAGATGGTATTGTCCTTAGGTTGTAGTATATGGTCCCTCCTGCAAAAATTCACGGGTTAAGAAGTCAGGCAGAGAATTAGAAGAACCGTGAAGATGTTCAATAGAAAAGTCAAAAGCAGATAAGATAGCTTGCCATCAGGCAAATATATGTTTTGATACAAGGTTTTGGACATCTTTTTGCAGAATGTCTTTGGCGGCCTTGCAGTCAGTGCGAATTAAAAAGTGTTGATTAAGAATATCAGTTTGAAATTTACATACGCAATGAATAATAGCAAGCAATTTTTTTTTGACAGTAGAGTAATTCTTTTGGGTAGGATTCCATGCTTTAGAAGTAAAACGTATTAATTGTTCTTTAGAATTAATTGATTGTTTTAATATTCCTCCTAATCCTATTTCAGAAGCATCGCATTCAATAATTTTAAACGCTGTAGGATCAGATAGATTTAAACATGGAAGTTCTTTAGCCTTAAGCTTAAGTTTCTGTACAGCTAAAGTATGGATATTAGTCCATGGTGGAGGATTCTTTTTTAACCGATCATATAAAGGTTTAGCATCTAAAGCCAGATTTTGATAAAAATCACTTATGTAATTAAGACATCCTAAAAATCATTGTAATTCAGTTTTATTTAAGATTTTATCAGGAAATTTATCAGCAAAAAGTATTGATCGATCAATTGGAATGATTGTTCCCTGATTAATATTATGTCCTAGGAATCTTATTTTTGTTTGGAACAAATTTATCTTTTTAGCAGAAACAACTAATCCAGCTGTTTTAACTGTGTGAATAAAAGTATGAAGATGTTTAAAATGTTGTTCTATTGATTCAGAAAAGACTAAAACATCATCAATATAAACAATCATAAATTTATAAAAGGGATTAAAGATCTCGTTCATTATCTTTTGAAATTCAGATGGAGCATTTTTAAGGCCGAAAGGCAGAACGTTCCACTCATATTGTCCGAAAGGGACATTGAAGGCTGTTTTATATTTATCTTCTTCTTTTATCTGGATTTGCCAAAACCCGGATTTTAAATCGAATTTGGAGAAGATTACAACATGTAATAATCTATCAAGTAAATCTTTTTTATTTGGAATGGGATATTTAATCCATTTTAATACTTTATTAAGAGGTTTATAATTGATGACTAATCGAGGAACTCCTCGTTCCTGCTCAGCATTTTTATTGACATAAAAGGCAGAACAACTCCAAGGAGAAGAACTGGGACGTATTAATTTCTTTTGGAGTAGGTCATTTATTTCTATTTGACATGTTTGCAATAATTCGGTATTCATTTGAATTGGTCTAGCTTTTGTTGGTATCTTTGTTTCACTAAAACTAGGTTCATATGGTAATCCTACAATATGTTGTTTTCTATGCCAAAAGGCATTTGGTAATTCATTGCATATTTCCTTTTCAATAAAGCTTTTGAGATGTTGTATTTTTTGTATTATCTCAGGAGATTGGAGCTTTTCGCTGGTGAGCTTATGTTTGATTTCAAGTTGTAAAGATCCTAAGAAATTTTCTTTGTATTTCATATTCTGTTTAACAGTATTGATTTCTTTAATCTTTGGTTTATCAAGAAATTCAAATCTAATAGGTGTACCATGTGTATTTGTTTCAAGACCAGTATGAGAAACTGTGACAGGATATAACAGAGTAAGAAAAGGGACGCCGAGGATTACAACTTGACTAAGTCCTTTGACCATTATGAATGGAGTTGGAAAACAATGTTCTTCCCGTACAGATTTTAGCATTGGATAATTTGTATTTGATAAAGAGTCTACTTCCATCAGCCGTATTAAGGATTTGAGTGGTCTTATCAAAATATTTTGTAGGGACTAATCCCTCATTAAGGCAATTCAGATCAGCACCTGAATCGATCAATGCTAAGGATTGGAATTCATATTCATCATTGATTACTATGGTTATTAATACAAACCATTTTTGTGTTATTACTCTATTTAAAACATTTACCGAATGTTTATTTGATGATTCGCCATGATTCATTTGATCATTGGGATGATATGATTTGAGTAAATGATTGAACTCTACTATGTCTTCTTCAGTATGTATTTCGGAAGTATTATTATGAAGTTCGA